TTTGCCTTGATAACAAGCATCACAAGAAAATTCATCATTTGTAAGAATCTTCAGGTTCTTTAATGGATGCCCACTCGAATTTTCAGTAATTCATCTCATCATTATTGATCCAGGATGGCCCAAACGGCCATGCCAAAGCACAAAAGTATTTGAATCAGTAAACTTCTGGTTTACGATAGAGTGTGCTTTAACTGTACTAATCTTTGAATAGTATAAGCCAGAAGATAAAGTTGGTAACTTTTCTACAATGCATTTCTGGCCAGAAATATTCTTTGTAATACAAAGATATACGTTCATTTCATCTATTGTCTCAACATGATACCCATTTCGGCAGATATCTATAAAACTCAACAACTTTCTTCGGGACTTGGAGGAGAATAATGCATTGTCTATAATAAGTTTTGTTCCCTTAGATAGAAATACAATAGCTCTTCCAGAGCCTTCAATCAAACTTATATTACTAGAAATTGTAGAAACATTTGCTTTTTTCTTATGCAAATAAGAAAAGTATTTCTGATCTTTGAATATTGCATGAGTTGTTCCACTATCAATTACACAAATATCTTCATGATTGGTCTTTGATCCAAACATAATTTGAGGATTATCCATATTCTTCAAAATGACATAAACAAAATAAATATGATAGTAAACATTATTATCAAAGCATAAATTTTATTTATATACAATAATTACATAACCATACTATCTACTATAAACAACAAAAATTAAAAATATTTACATTTCTACATGTTCACTACCGATCGCATGACTTGTTTCTCCTTCTGGGAGTGCAAAATAATCAGCTACATCCAAATGCATGAAGTCTAAATTATCTTCAGAAATAAAATTTGCTTTAGCATTTTTCTCTGTCTTCTTCAGGGAGGCTTGATACAGCTCAACCAGGTGCTTTGGCGTACGACATGTACGTGACCAGTGCCCTTTTCCTCCACATCTATAGCATGTATTTTCTGGCTTTGTTGCTTGCACCGATTCATGCTTTTGTTCCTTCCTTTTCCACTACTGGTGGTGAGGAGGGTTCTTTAGTGCATTGTTATTACCACGATTAGAGTTTTCTCCCCGACTACGGCCATGACCACGACTGGGGCCACGTCCTCTTCCACGCTTAACTTGGTGGAAGTTCGTCTCATTCACTTCAGAGAATGGACAAGAACAAGTAGGTCGACTTTCATGATTTTTCATTAATAGCCCATTATGTTTCTCGGCTACAAGAAGATGTGAAATAAGTTCAGAATACTTTTTAAATCCAATCTCTCGATATTGCTGCTGCAGGAGCATATTCGAGGCATGAAAAGTGGTGAAAGATTTCTCCAATATATCATGATCAGTAATATTATCACCACATAGTTTCAATTGGAAAATAATTCTGAACTTAGCAGAATTATACTCACTGATAGATTTAAAATCTTGTAGCCTTAGATGAGTCCAACCATAACGTGCATGTGGAAGAACGACCATCTTCAAGTGATCATATCTATCTTTCAAATTATTCCACAGTATGACTGGATCTTTAACGGTAAGATATTCCATTTTCAGGCCCTCATCAAGGTGATGGCGTAGGAATATCATTGCTTTGATACGGTCTTGGTTTGATGCGTGATTTTTATCTTTGATGGTGTCTGCCAGACCCATCGTATCAAGATGAATTTCGGCATCAAGCACCCAAGACATGTAGCTTTTGCCCGATATATCCAGAGCTGCAAACTCAAGTTTAGAAAGATTTGACATTATTTAGAAAAAGAAAGTTCGTACCTCTGATACTTTTAAACTATTTTTTCGAGATGGCAGAGTCTCGTGCTGATAACGTGTTATAAAATAAAACTGTAAAGTAAAGACAAGTATAGAGAGAAACTGATATGTTATTCAAACTTCAAACTTATGTACATAATGAACTGAAAACTCCTCTATTTATAGAAGAAAGGAAGCAACTGCGAGGCTTTTCAGGAAGCAGTTGCAAGGATTTTCTTTAGCTGCTTGTAAGTTGTCTGTATGAGCTGCTTGCAACCTGCCTGTTTAATAAGAAGCTGCTGCAAATCATTTCATTGAGCTGCTTGCAACCTGCCTGCATCAACTGCTTGCAACCTGCCTGCATCAGTTGCTTGTAGATAAATTTCAACAAAGTACTAAATGAAGAAGGAAGATTATTTATAACGAAGTAATAAATGAACATTCACAATATAATTATTTTCATAACAAGAGTATAATTTTTTGATAAATTGACATTATTATATTCTTATTGATACCTTTCGGGCAAGTGGCTCCGCCAATGAACATAGTGACATAGTAAAGGGCTAAAATGAGATGAAGCTCACAATTAACTGCCACTGCAACTTGTCACTAAAAGAGTGGACCACAAAACAGCCAATACTAATATAAACCTTTGCTAACTTTTATAAAGGGAAAAGGCCCAAAAATGATTTTGTGATATTCAAAATGGATTAATTATAACCCTTGTTTAAATTTGAGTCCACAAATGACCTTACCGTTATAGAATGTGTCTAATAATGTTCTTGTGTTATTCGAAATGGATCAATTATAACCCTCGTTTAAATTTGATCCCATTAATGATCATGCCGTTAAAGAATGAGTCTAATATTTATATTTGTAAATAATAATGTATTAATATAAATAATGTACACATTTTAATACATTATTATTTTTAAACTTAATATATAAATATATGTTTCACATGTAAATTTATTCGGTATGGTTTGATATCTTTTCGGTTTATTTTTATAAATTAAAAAACATACCCTAATTATTTGTCACGATCCCAAAATTTCCTCCGTAGAATATCGTGATGGCACCTAATCTCTAAGATTAGGTAAGACATTAATGCGAAATAACAATAGAAATCTAAAATAAATGAACTGCAATTCAAATAATTATAACTCCCAAAATTCGGTAGAACTAAGTCACAAGCTTCTAAGAATTTATCATCAATGTCTCTATATATCAGAGTCTAAACCAAGAGGGTATTCTAAATTTTCCAGCTTAATTCACCCATTAAATGTTAAAAACAACGGAGCTATTGAAATCATCAAAATTCTATTCTGGGGTCGTTTACACATAGGTCGACATCCAACCAACCTTTTCAACTTAAGTTTTAAACTTTGGAACTAAGTGTTCCAATTCATTCCAAAAACCTCACCGGACCCGAACCAATTACCCCGGCAAGTCATATAACAATTATAAAGTACATAATTAGTAGTAAATAGGGGGACAAGGCTATAACTTTTAAAATGACTGGTCAGGTCATTACATTATCAGTACGATTATAGATTTATTTAAAAACCTACGATTTTATTAAAAGAAACATAAAAATGAGTTCGGCACGGTACGGTTCTGTCGGTTTAGTCGGTTTTTAAATATCCATTTACACCCCTAATCATTACTAACTGAGGGAAATAGTAGTATTAGACTCAGTCTTTAATGGCAGGGTCATTAGTGAGATCAAATTTAAACGAAGATTATAATTGATCAATTTCGAATAACACAACTGCATAATTAGACTCATTCTATAACACCAAGATCATTTGTGAACTCAAGTTTAAATGGGGGTTATAATTGATCCATTTCGAATACCACAAGTTCATTTTTTGGCCTTTTCTCTTTTATAAATAGTGAAATACTGCCGACATCTCTCACGTGGCATTTAAAAATGTTTTGTTTAGCAATCACACGTCACCGTTTTATTTTGTTACATTCATTAAGAAAATAAAAATTTCTAAAGAAAAAAAAAATATTTACTAAATTAATCTTAATTAATTATTACCTTGATATATTGAAATATGTAAATAAGGGCAAATTATGAAAAAGTAAAATTAATTTCTTTTTAATTATATTAATTAAATTTTTATTTTGAACTAAAATAAAATAATAAAATAATCTCATGGAAGGGAATATTGTTAAGTCGCTGAAAAATAAATATTACTCCAGTAATAAAGTTTTGTCGTTAAGGTGACAGTTATACCAACAGGCAACCGGCAACCACACCTCGACTGTTATTGGTACAGCCCACGCCTTTCGAGTGAGCAGGGCTCCCGGACCCGGATCGCCTAAAAAAAATTTGGGTTATCAAATACGACCTAAAGAAACATAGTCACCACTCTGCCATGACCGTTTCTCGGTTTTTGTATTTTACGGCCAAAAAATTAAAATTTCCCGGATTCCCATATTTTCGTGTGCTATAATCCACGTCTTTCGAATGGGCCCGGATCCCCGGACTCGGATCGCCTAAAATTTTTGTATTAAGCAGATTTCTCATCTTATATGACTGACATATTCAGTTATTAGTTAACACGTACGCACAGGGGCGGACGCAGAGAGCCACCGGATTCAACTAATCCAATTCTTTCGATGCTTGGTAAAAAGTTACGTATAAAAAATTACTAAATTTATAATAAACAGTAAATGTGAATTTAAAACTTTAAATATTAAATCCGTAAAATTAAAATCATAAATATGTCTCTACACACTTAAGGCGTTTGATTGGTGAACAAGTTTACAAGAATTATAATATAAAAATTAAATAATTGGTGACTTTTTTCATGAATATATTTTTATTAATTAATATTTAATTCATTAAATAAGTGTTTAATTTACACAAGATAAACATAAATAAACCTTTATTTTCAATTATAATCTTAATTTTTTTTTAAAACTTTGAAAAAAGAGTCTTGGACCATCATTTTGATGTTTTATTCCCAAATTGTTATACTGCATTGAAGTCGGTATAGAAATAAAGTCATAATTGTAATATAACCAACATTGTAATTAATAATCTTGAAATAAATAATTCAACTAATTATAAAATAAATTAATCACTTTCTTATTTTAAAATTATTATTCCTTATCCACGTACCAGTGTCTCACATTATTGTAAAAATCAAAGAGCTTTCACAAGTGAAGCTCTTTATCTTCATTTCCATTTATACCCCTTAAGAATACTCTAATATAAAATTATAAATACACATAAGTCTCGCCACCATTTTCCTCATTCCTCTTTGCAAGCTTATAAATGTCGTCTCCGAGAATTAACCGTAGAGGTAATGAAGAGAAGAATCGAAAGGGAAAGTTATCGGAAAAATCCATGTCGTTTCACGGACAAAGCTCGGGGAGCAGCAGCACGCCCTCGGAGCTATTGACAAGGCCGAGGACGGTGCCGGACTTGCTCGCCGGTGTTAGAACTTCCGCCGGTGAATCGGCGGCGGTGAATTTCCGGCCGATGAAGTTGACGAAGTTGCTGGTGAACGTGACGATTCAAAGGAGTGTTGGACCTGTACACGTACTGATATCGTTGGAATCGACTGTAGACGATCTCATTGCCGCCGCACTACGGCAGTACTCGAAGGAAGGAAGACGGCTGGTGATTTCCTCCGTTTCTGCTGCCGATTACGATCTTCATTACTCGCAGTTCAGCTTAGAAAGTAAGAGCTTGTTCATCTTATTCCAGTTATTCGCCCTTCAATTGAATTTTTTTTTTGCAAAGTATTGTTAATTATGTTTATATCTAAGATGTTAGCTTCCTTTTAAGTTACATGTTTCTGTTTTTCCAAAATATTTACTCAATTATCAATTTATGCAGTCTAATTTGCCTGTATACCAAGTTTAAGAATATTTTTTTCAAACTTGTGAGTTGTGACTATTATTAAAAGTGAAAAAAATTAAATATAAACTTATTCTCAAATATTAAAATATGTCTTTTTTGTTTAATAGACTAATAAAAAAATAGAGTGACATAAAATTAAACGAATGAGTATATAATAAATAAAAATTAAATTTTATGTACTTAGGTTATTTATCCTATTTAGTACACATATACTCTAGTAGTATTATATATATTCCTTCTTTTCACAATTTTAGAGTAATTTAAGCTGAGGAATTATAATACCGGTACTACAAAATAAATTTCATAATATTGAAATTTAACTCTCTAACATGTAATATTTTAGTTTCTTAAAACAACTACTTGTATTTATTTCTGTAAGAAAACGTATAAATTGTGAAAATTATTTTAAAATTAAATTACGGAATATTGATATATTAGACTTCCATCTTTGAATTCAGGTTTGGACAGGAAGGAGAAGCTCACTGCTTTGGGTTCAAGAAACTTTTTTATGTGTCCGAAAAACGTTGGCGCAACGACGTCGTCTTTAAGCTGTGGAAAACAAGCTGATGCATCTAACAAGATACCTTTGCCATGGCTCAAATTCATGGATTTCTTGCTATAGGACAGCTCGGCACACAAAGTATCACACATTTACGGAAGATTCGGAAAAGGGCCGTAATCTAAAGAGATGTGGTATAAGTACCCTACTCTGATACAAATATCAACGATCAAATCTGTAACTTATATGTTACACGCACACAACTTAAATGTTGCTCCAAGGTTTCCTTTCGGTATCATAGATTTCTTGGTATGGAAAATCAAATTTAGAACCTTGAACTTTAGTTATACTCCATATATTCAAAAGAGGGCTGGCTTTTCACGACTACAAATTAAGTGTTATATATGTTTTATTCCTATGCTCGTTTTTTTGTAGCTTGTCATAGTTTGAGATTGATATATTGTATATGTTATAGTTAATCAGAAGTTGAGAAAGATGTATTTAAATGATCTCAACATGGTGTATCATAGTTTTTAAATGCTAAATTTTTAATGTAATATACTAATGAGATTTTACTTTTTGTGTCTTTATCGTATTGCATATTTGCATTCCTCATTATTTACCTACAGCATTACAGGGCGAAGTTATGTGTGGCAAGGATGATTTACCGAATATTCTTTGACAAAATATTATATTATGTATAAGATAAAATAATTTGTTATTGATAAAAAAAATTATATTTTGGATATCCTTGCATTAGGGGCGGATGCACCATACTACTACCGGGTTCAACTGAACCCAATACTTTAGGCATGTAACATAAATTTATGTGTAAAAAATCACTAAAATTATAATAAATAGTAGATATGAATCCATAAGTTTAAATGCCGAACTCATAGAACTAAAATTCTAGATTCGTCTCTCCCTTGCATAGCCCACTAACAAATAAATTTCAAAATTTAAATACTCTTATTGAATTTAACCACTATGTACGATCAATTAAGAGAAAAGAATAGGACTTGAACTATATATTAAGATCTTTTTTGTACTTTTTTGTTTGTTTGTTAAAGCTATGACTTCTTTTGGGACCATTAAGGCTAGCGTTCCCCTTCTTTGACTGGCTTTACACGGTACAAATTAGGATTAAAGGGCAAGTGCACATATAGCCATTTTAAGTTATACAATTTAGAGATTAGTCATTACTTATTTTGTATTGAAATTTTAAACTAAAAATTTTAACTTCGGGATAATTCAGAACATTTTTACCCTGAAAAATTTAAATTCAAGACGCACTGACTAATTCTTAAATAACAGTCATTTAGAGTGATTACCTAGTATTATTTCTACTCGGATTTAGTTAGGACATAGTGTCCAAATGCATATATTGAACACTGGACGAAAAAATATCTTTTTTGTGTGTGTTAAAAATTCTATTGGAGATAGTTTCTATCTATATGTCTGGATTCTGAAGTTGGAGTGGATCATTTCTGCACAGAAATATCTAATCCACAAACTCCAAAAGAATATCCTTAGTTTTGTGTGGCAGTAATCATATTTGTGGGTATGGATGGCATTTACATAAGTCTCTGGTCATTTATTACTGTAGCTCGAAAGACTTCTTTGAAATGTCTAGTGCCTAATAGGCTTAGATTAATCAATTTGACTGAGAGATATTTCATTAATTAGATAGTGTGATTATTTGTAACAGATTGTTTGGTAGGATGTATTAGGGAAAACATATATATATATATATTAGATTTGGTATTATTAATTTCTTGTTTGGTAATGTTTTTCAACCTAAGTATTATTTTTATACATAGCAAATCAGGTCACATCAATATATATCATGGTTTTTAAGACATGAATAAGTATGTATAAAGACAAAATTGATATTTCAAAACTTTTAATACACCAAATCAAACAGTCAATAAGAAATAAGCTTATCATAACTAATCATAACATTGCTAATATACCATATACAATATTATTTTATATGCCTTACCAAAATGACTCCTTAAACGAAATAGTGCATCTAATTTTTTATTATTATAAAGTCTTATTATTTTTTGTCATCATCCACTAATCCGTTTGACACAATAAAGGAGTGTTAAGAAACTATCAAATTATGCCGTCTTCTGTCTAATCAAACTTAGAAAAGTTCTCTTCTAAGTGTGTTACATGTGAACCATTTTGGAATTATAAATTATTATAACTTTTTACAAAAATTCAAGAAATTACAACAACAACAACAACCCAATAGAATCCCACTAATGGGGTCTGTGGAGGGTAGTGTGTACGCAGATCTTACCCCTACCCCAAAGGAGTAGAGAGTTTGTTTCCGAAAGACCCTCGGCTCAAGAAAACAAAAGACAAAACGACAAGAGGAGACAACATTAGTATCACCACAACAATCATAGAAAAAATAGGAACATCATAAAATGTAGAAGAAAGATGCAAAGCAAAAACGATAGCTAGTAAATAAGACATACACTGAAAAGCGAAGTAGTAAAACACAACATTGTCACTAGCTACCCTAGACAAAAATCCTACGTGGCCAGTCCCACAATGGTACAAAGTAAGTCAAGACTCAACTACATCCTAACCTACAACTCTAATACTCGACCTCCACATATTCCTATCAAGTGTCATGTCCTCGGAAATCTGGAGCCTGGCCATATCCTGTCTGATCACCGCTCCCCAATACTTCTTAGGCCGTCCTCTACCTCTTCTCGTGCCCTTCACAACCAGCCGCTCACACCTCCGCACCGGAGTATCTAGGCTTCTCCTTTGAACATGTCCGAACCATCTAAGCCACGCTTCCCGTATCTTGTCATCAATGGGAGCCACATGCACCTTCTCCCGAATAACATCATTCCTAATCTTATCTATCCTAGTGTGCCCGCACATCCACCTCAACATCCTCATTTCTGCTACTTTCATCTTCTGAATATGTGAGTTCTTAACGGGCCAACACTCAACCCCATACAACATGGCTGATCTAACCACCTTTTTTTTTCTACGATCCTTTTCAACAGAAACGTAGAAAGTGCCTAAAAGCTAGGTTGTCAAGAAAGTCAAGTTTTAAAGTCCAACAGAAGATACTTAGAAATCTGAATAAGACTATACGAGTTGACATCTAAATGCATCCAGTGATATATTAACATTATTTCTCTTAAATTTTTCAAAATGGAATGTGGAAATACATTTACTTTATTTAAGGCCTCCTAAATAAACAATAATAGAGAAATCTCATTATTTCTTAGCGTGAAACTGACTCTTCGTGGTAAAAATTTCACCGCACACCTTATTTGCACACTGGCATTTAACTTGTACTCAATGTTTTAAAATTGTTTAAGTGGTACCTAATAATAACAAATTTCAGACAAAAGCCCACTTTTTTTCTTTTCTTTTTTCTTCTGCTTCTCCTGTCTAGTCATTTCACTTCTTCCACCTTATTCTTTTTCCTAAGCCACCAAAACTCATATATATATTTTTAGGGCAAAATACAAAATTGGCCGATCAATCGGAACTAATTATATTCGCGAGGCAAAAAGTATTGTTTACCCGAAAAACGGATAGAGTTGAATTTATACGTAGTTCTAAGGATATGTGATATAGTTTAATACAAATCGTAAGGATAAAAGGAAATATCAAATATGAACTACAAAGAATATAAAATAAACAAAGTTGTAAAGAAGGCGATTTTTAGGACTAAGCAAGATGGATCAGTTTTTTAGGCTTAAAAGAGTAACTCTTGAATATAAGAGGATATGGTACTTGAATTACAATGTGAGCTCTCTATAAAAACTGCACTTACAGAAATGATAACCCCCCACCTTTATAGTAGAGGAATCTTACTTTAAATATAATTAAAAGTACTATGTGGGAAGTCCATGATAGATCAGCTTTTTCATAATTCCTGCCAAGATTCTCTCCTCTAGCGGGATTGCAATGGCTTTTGTCTGTGAGCTCGATCTTGACTCGAGCTCTCGATCTTGGCTTGAGCTCGATCCATACTCGAGCTCTCGATCTTGGCTTAAGATCGATTTTGATTCGGGCCCTTGAATTGATTCAGAGTCAATGTTGGTCGGTCTCTGGATCATAAGCTTGATAGCTTTACTTTGCATCATAGTTTGATTTGGATTCGAGCTTGATAATGATATCGAACTCGACATTGATCGGTCCCTCGGGTTCGAAGCTTGTTTGTACCATCTTCGGAACCCATCTCGAAGTCTCACTTCGATCGCTTATCTTTCGAACTCGATCAGACGCACGAAGGCTGAAATCTATTTCGACCGTATACAGATAGTCCCCTCGTTTCTCAGAAAGAATGTGATGAGAAACGATATGATTTTTCAATGGATCGATCGGATTATAAACTGACGTTTCCATCGGGCACGATCATGACGCACGTGATAGCTATCCCGTTAATTTAGTCTTTCAAGGTATTTAATACATGTCAGACGGTGGTCGGCCACCGATGATACTGAGCCGCCATCGCTTAAACCTATAAATAACCCTTTCTTTCATTATTTACCACTTTTACATCTCCAATCTTCCAAATTTTCTAAATCCTTTTTCGTATTATCTGACTTGCCCGCAAGTCTGTGATTTCTCTTTGCAAAAAATCCCTCTTCAATTTTACCAAATCTTCGTCACTTTCTTCTATTCCTCACCTTTGAATTCGAAAATGGCGAAAACATCACAAACTATCCCTTAGAAAGAGAAGGCTTCGTCTTCACAGTGTGCCGTCGATGAGATACCGGCAGAACCACAGCCTGAGGAGTGCGTTCCCGGGGCGTGTGTTCTTACTTCTGATTTTAAGGTTGATAAAGGCTCATCGGTCCCTGGCCGATGTGAGCTAGTATCGAGGTACATGTGTTTAATAACTGAGAAGCACCTCAAACAGCTAAAGAAAGATTGGAATTGGGATAAAAAATAAATAATAATTCCTACTTCTGACGAAGATATCACCACTTACGTAAAAGGATTTTTGAGTGTGTATTCTTACCCTTTCACGTTAGGTCCCCTCGATTCCGTTATTATTGACTTCTGTCGTCAATACCAAATAACCCTAGGCCAGGTCCACCCTTCTTTTTGGCGGATCGTTATCTTGATCCGATACTTTGTGAACAAAATTGAGAGGATGTCGTTCACCCTCGACCATCTTATCCGATTGTACCGTCCTTGACTTTTTCGAGGAGGGTTAATAAAACTTCAGCGTCGGACTACCAAGGCTCTGTTCTTGAGCATTGATGAGGACAGGGATCGGGGATGGATGGGCAGGTTCGTTCGAGTGAGGACTTCAGATATGATTCCGGCCGAAAAGATGCCCTTTCCCGAGGAGTGGAATATGAAACGTAAGTGTGATCCTGCTGTTACTTCCTTCTATTTTGTTCTTTCATTTCTTTTCTCATCGATACTCTTCTTTTTGTGATGCAGCAGTTTCCTGGATGCCTGGAGCAGTTCCCGATCTCAAGAACTATGTACGAGCTCTTGTTTCGACTTTCACATACGTCGAGCGCTCATGGCGTTATTTGTTAAAGGGTCGGTGGGAGGCCAAAAATCATGGTAA